ACGTTGTGACTAGAAACCGAGCCCGCTACTCGCCGGTGAATGACACGATTGTTTTTTCTCTTTTCTCCACTAATGCAAACGGAAAATTTCTCCGCCTCGGATATAGCTGCGACGGATTAAAAAAAAAGAGCGCGCGACTGCTCTGATTAAGGCGCTTTTTGTGAGATCCACGCGACGAACAATAATTTTCGTCTGGCCAATTTCGGAGAGAATCTCCATTGTAATCGGCGGTGGCGCGATGCTGTTCATAAATCATGACCGAACAAACGATTTGTAATCCGTACCCGCGGCGTACCGATGCGACGGACGTTGCAAATCTATCGATCAACGATGCCGCGATAGCGAGATTCGCGTTTTAATTCTGACAAGTATGTGAAATCAAACTGAATTTATAGAGAAATATTCGTTCCAGATTTAAGGACGTTCCGCGCTGATGATTATTTATGTTTTTCGTGAATAATAATGCCTCGTAAAGGAAAAAAAAAACCCATTAATATTCAAATATTTTTGTTGATGAAACATTATTTCAGTTTTTGACAATAAACATTGTTCTGTGTTGGGATATGCTTGTCACCAAATATCACATATCTGATATACAAGCTCGTTTATAATATTTATAAGGCATCATCGTATTTCTAACAGGAGTACATGATATTTTCATGCTGGGTACGGATTTACTGTGATGCATGCGTCCTGTATACGTGCGCGCTCTTTCGGCGATGGAGAATCGATTGGACACCGTCGTCTCACCTTCTGCGAGTCACAGTAAATAGCGAATAGCGGGGCGAAATTCGAGACTAGGACGGCGGAAAATATGCGACGGGAAAACTAAGAATCGGCAGAAAATTTTAATTAAAATCCCGGATCTGAGTTAAAAGAAATTTAATTAAAAACAAGAAAAGTAGAAATCAAACGTTATAAATGACCTCGCGAATCGCAATTTACTCGCAGTTATTTATTTATATTTAATTTCCACGGTAACGCGACTCGCGAGATGGTATTAAATTCGCGAGCGTATCCAATGCGCGACAGGTACGCGCGAACGGGAAATATAACCGCGCCTAGTTAATGAGCTATCGATTCGAACTAGAGACGTCGTTTTACGATTTTATATGCGCGGCAACGCGTCGTCGATCAATCACAATTACGAGATCGTTTGCCGATGCGAGTGCCACGAAATATCGTCGCGCAAGTTCATCGAGCGAGATATTACGAGCGCCGGTAGAGCCTTCGCAAGAATGTAACCAGCCGGTATGACAAATCGCCTACATGCCATGCGCAAATCCAATTTTACGAAGCACGATCCCGGCGGATGGAAGTGCATCAGCGACGCTCGGTCTCAGGCATGACGGCGGCTGAATTCCGCCGGGAGTGCAAGCTTTTGGCGACTTAGCTAGGCAACCCTGGTCGCCCTTGGATGGCGAAAAGGGTGTGTACCGGAGAACTCGAGAGGGTGGCTCGGGATATCCTCTCGAGAACGAGAAGCTTGCGTCAGAGCTAGCGATGGGAACGAGAGACGGGACGGATACCAGCTTCGACCTTCGACGACGCGACAAACAATGTTCCGGGCATCGTTAGAGCTGCGCGCGAGCGTTTTATGAACCCGGGAATTTCGGCAATCTCAAAACTCGCACATCGACGGCGAGGTGACGCGATGTTGCGCGGAATGGTCTTTCGATTCCATCGTTCTTTTTGATAGCGCCGAAAATTCGCCTAACTTTGGAAGAGTTGGGAAATGTCCAACGTCAGGTCGGACTTTGAAGACTTTCGATCGCGGAACTTTGTTGACATTGGCAGAATTCGAAGAGTAGCCGCCGCTATTGAAAACTTCGTAGTTAACGGCGCCGGTGAAAAATCGCGAGTACACCGTCTGGAATCTCGAATTTTCGCTTGGAAGTCGATGGGATTCCATACCATGGCGTTGCCGGTGGTACAATCTCACCCTCGTCATTCGAGGGCTTCGTGAAAAAGAACCGTACGAAAAACGGGAGTAGCGTCGGATACGGGCGAAGGCGGTATGTATTGCGCGAAAGTGAAATTGTGCGGTCCCGCAAATAACCGTAGCATTTTATGGTCCTCTCCGACTTCGCACTAACTGTCTTGACCATAACGTCATAAATCGTACCTTCTTTTTTTCCCACAAGTTCTCATTCATGCTATACAACGGTCGGAAGTCCTATGGTTTGCTCTAATAATTAAGATTTTTTAAGAGCACAAAAAATTCTACATAAATCAATCGTACCTATCGTTGCCTTTGTTAACGAGAAAAGATTTACTGATGAGTTATAACGGTATTTCAACAGCATTTCAACTTAGATATAGGTGGTCACACGGATGTGACAATGGCACGCATACAAAGTCATTTTACCACAAAATTGGAACAAAGTAGAAACAAAGAACAAATAGACAAAAATGCGCTGCTTAACGATCTCTCCATTGCTAGGATGTAGATAAGGAGCCTCGGTTGCGTTGTTTTGCGCCCGTTTTCGTATGCGAGGAGGCAAGGTTGTATACAGTTAGGTAATAACTACGAATGCATGCCTTATCCCGGCGGTGAGTACTTAATGTAAATGATTTTGCCAAGTTTCACGGGACAAAGGGCGCGGGCGTAGTTTCGAAACTCGCATGCCGGCAACAGCCGCGGAAGTTTCTCTGAATTTTAATGAAAAATGGAACGGGTATCGCGCACCGGCCGTATTTGCGTTACGGATGCTGGCAGTGATGGTGGTGGTGGTGGCAGTGATGTTGGTGGTGGGAGGCACGGAACAAACACGGCTCTAGTTCGGTAAATTGTTTGAGATTATCGCGCATTACTATCAATTAGCATCTGCGCATCGTGTACACGCTATTCGCGTAATACCGCGGAAAAAGGACGGATGATGCCTCGTGTGGAATGCAGGGCCGTCCTTGCAACGCACGGTTGCACGGCTCGTATTGTTCCGGAATTGTGTTTTGTATATATTTACAGTCACGAGACTCAAATTTCAAAATCGTATAAAAAGTCCTTTGCTATGAGAATACTAGTAGCGTGAAACGAAAACCCGCAAAAAATTTGATACACGTATTTCAAGAATATTAAAAAAATTAAAAATAAATTTGTGAATAATTATTTGACTATGAGACGATAAGCGATATTATATCGCTCTAAATATTTTGCAATTTTTAAACATGATAAAATTAGCATCATTTTTGTATTCGTGTATACATATTTATAATAGTTGACCGTGCCATAATAACAATTCTACATAAAACAAATCTCACAGTATGTGGTAACGCGTATAATTTAATTTTTGTTTCAAATTTTATGACCGTGAATTGACGTTGCAAAAAATTATGACAAACGAGACAAGGATTATGCGATTCATGAGCGCGTAACGGCTATGTACCGCGTATAATCATAACAAAAATACCGCTCGACATCGGTCAGTTCGTGCATAAAAATCCGGTTCGCATAAAAAGAACGTAAATCGTTTTAAAGTGCACAATTTAACACTCGGTTTATACGAGTGCGAGGTATGTTTCAAAGGTAGACATACGGCCACCCCGTTCGTCCTCGGTTAAATCGCGTTCGCAATCAGTCGCCGCAATCGTCGCGATCGACGACGAATTATGGTCGCGCCGGCCCTGCGACATGAAACCCAGAGGGTGGCGGCAATTACACCCCGCAGGGCCGCACTCGCCCGAGGATACATCTGCCCTCTCTTTTCCCGACGTGACCGACAAAATTATGTGTGTAATAGATGTGTGCGCGCTCACAACTGTCGCGGCAAAAACGATGAATCCCGATGAAGGGAGATTATGGGAAATCGTCTCGTATTTAACCCCTTAAATCGGGAGAATGGGTAAAGCACATTTTGCGAATTTGCATATTGATACAAAATTCATCGCACCCAAAGTCAATTACTGCAAAAAACTACTTTCTTTTCCTATCACATACATTTCCTATCACATTTTGCATTTGTTAAGCAATACGATTGTAAGTTGTAAAGAAGTGTTTCAAAATTTGTTTTTTTTCTACAGAATTATTCAGTCACGCAATTTTAAATTATTCAAAGCATTCAAAGGGTTAACATTCCTTTCATCAATAATGAGATAATGGAGCAATATTGTTATTAAAATTATGTTATCACATTATGCTACTAATGGTCGTATTTCATGAAAACATGTAAATTTTGAGATAAATGGAAGGATAACGTATCTATATGAATTTTAGACTTATGCAAATAGCTGCATCAAATATTGTATCGAATATGAGAAAATATGATAGTATACCGTTGCAATCTAATATTTTACGCCATTTACTGGATAACGGAAAATCGCTCATTTAACTCGAGAAGAATGGCAAAATTCGCTTCAATCGCGTCCGTTTGAATATAATCGTTAAGTTGCACAATTAATCACTGCGCGAGAGAAATGCGAGAAAATACAGGAAATGGTGCGAAGAGAACTTTCGTTACTCTCATTCATCATCACAATTGATTATTGCACTCGCTCCTTTGTTTTCGGAACATTCTCTTTGCAACGGCTAATTGTCTTTATAACGCGCGTTTATCTCTTTGAAGTCGGCGCGGTGCGCTCTTATCTAGGTATAGCTCACGTGAAAAATGGAAATACACACTGCGTAACAATTAAAAGAAATTCTGATTCGTAATATTTAACAATCGTTTCATTATATGATTAAACACAATAATTTAATACATAAATAAACAATACAAATTTATATTGACAATTCCTTGAAAACAATAATTAATACTTTATGTAAAAGGAAATTAACACAACAAAACCATCCGATTCAATAACGATTGTATAAAAGCTTATATGTTGAAGCTTATATATTGATAAAAATGTAGGTTTTTTTGTGAAATATTACTTTCAAAGAAGCAAATTATATTATAATTAAATTGTATTGAATTTAATATAATAATCTGGTTTTAACAAAATAGAATTAATGCAGCTATTTGCAAGAGAATTTTCTAGAAATAATAATATTTATTACTTACCCTTTTCTCCTCGCTGTTTGCAATCAGAAATCTGTAGGATACAGTATTGTCGTCAAACTGGAGACAGCATTCATGTCGAATCTTTGATCTTTGACTCTTCATCCTTGATCTTAAATGCAAAACAAATATTTATATATAATAATATAGTTAAAAATACAGATTTTTTTGCAAAATATTAGTTTTAAATATACAATTATAACAATTACATTGATGTTTGTATCATAACCTTTACTGACTTTAATAAAATAAGATTAACATATATATTTTTGCAATTTTTTAGAAATATCAATGTTTAATATTTACCTTTTCCTCTTTGTTACGACTGAAAAATGTAATATGTAGCATTGTCGCCGAGATGGAAACAGCATTCATGTGTTTGAATCTTTTATCTTTAACTCTTCACACACATCTTCAATCCTAAATACAAAATGAGTGTTTATATTGTACGAATAAAAATATAGAATTTTTTAAAAAATATTAGTTTTTATACATCAACATATAATTATGACAAAATTGACAAATTACATTGAGTTTTATAATCTTTACTGACTGACAAAATCTATTTGTGAGAAATTTTTTAGAAATATTAATATTTAATATTTACCTTTTTCTCTTTGCGACTGGAAATGTGTAACATGTAGCATTGTTGCCGGGATAGAAATAGCATTCATTTTAAATCTTCAATCCTTCACTCTTCATCCTAGATCTTAAATATAAAATATAAATTTTTATACATGGATAAAAATGTAGATTTCTTTTATAAATTATTACGTTTGAACTTACATTCGTCGTACTTCGAGTCTTCAATTCTTGATTCTTCATCCTTGATTCAAGTATTTCTCGTTCATTTTATTCACGACACAATGCTTACTTTTTGGAGTCCTTTCGAGAATTGTCGTAGCGCACATTCGTACCGCGTATATCACACCCCCCTCCTCCTCTTTTGTTTTCATAAACACACACGTACTGCGTGAAAATTCCTGGAAGCGTTCGCGTTGCTCTATTCCGAGAATCGAGATGTTTATGTGTCGTATCGTAATCTGTGGTATACCGCTCGCTCGACCGCGATGGCCGACCAAATTTCTAACGAGCGTACAACTGTTTATTCATCGCGAGGCGGATAATGTAAACAAACGGCGAACGGTCATAAACGCGCACCTTAATTGACACATTACAACGGCGCGTCGTCCGACAGTACATTCAATCAGTCTCTGCCGATGTCCGATTATGCACGCGACGCACTTCGGACGTGAAAATAACGGCGGCAGTCATTTAGGCGAAAGTTTTGACGCGACGCGAATACGCCGAGTAATACTGCACAGTATTAATCACGGTCGCATTGCATTAGCACGTCATAGTAGTCGTACGATATTTCATTCGGCCCTCCTGATACTCACACGCGCGTTAGTTCGTCCGATTATTAACTCGTTACTCACCTTGTCTGCGAAAAATGCGGAGCGAAAACGTTTCGACTTCGACACGAAATGGCGGGAAAATGAACTATGATCTATCGATGACGTCATTCACGAGAAAGAATGCCATCATCTGAAAATTAAAATAACTTACTTCATAAGGTTGGTAACGAGACAGCGTGAAGTTGTTCAGACATTCAATGGTGGACGCGTATCGCACGTACCGCGCGTCTGTTGCTCGCGCGAGTTTGAAATATTGAAAAATAACTCAATATCCTCGAATATTACCCGGAATCTACGTGCCGCGTGTATTAACATCCCGTTTAGCTCAAGCGATGTGCGAAAGCTGTTGGACAGTTGTGTCAATGCGTACTGCGGAACGATCGTCCGTTCGACAATCTACCTATATTGGCGGGAAAAGCTACCTATATTGGCGGGCGTCAGTTACACGGCAAGGCGAATCTGCTAGTTTGGTAAGTGATATATTCAATCATGAATGTTCGGAATTGTCGCGAATTGTACTTATCGTGCCTTTTTCGATACGTGATACACGTTTCTTATCAGATCTACGAATCGCGAGCAATTAGTCAGCGTAGAGTCGAAAATATAAATCAAGCGTTCCTCGTTCTTGGAAACGCATATTTGACTTACTCCCCCCTCCCTCTTCGTATACCTCATCCTCGGCGCGAAGACTGCTCCGTGCGGCCCTGGGATCGCGACACCGCCTATTCGCGTGAGGCACAGTATATGTGCTCGTATTCGACGCTCTGTATACGCGGTCCTTCCAACATACGTCTCGTTCTCTGTATTTCTCCTCTCTCTCTCTTTCTCTCTCTTATCGCCGCGAGCCGTAGATACGTGTAGTACTGCGCGCCGCCACCGGCAACGCGACGCGGCGCCACAGTCGCTCTCTGCCGTGGCGCCATCGTGTTACGTTGTTCGTGCTCCGAGTTTAACCGTATCCGTGCGGCAGACCACAGTTCGCTCTCTGCAGCTCATCGTGTCACAGTGAGATAGATGTGCTTTTGCCGTGTCGCGTGTACATACTAGCCGTGACCCTCGCCGTAAGATTTTGACTCGCGTATCTGCGTGAAATCAACGCGTTCGGGAGTGTCGGACAGTGAGTGATAAGAGAAAAACAGTGACGTCGTCGAGGTGCATTCTGAACATCGTTCACGGAGAGACGACGTGATAACGCGGCGCGTGAACTCAAAAAGCGGACGAGCGTGCGACACATGAGGAGGCGAACTCGCGTGGCGAGTTCGGACGAAGACGAAGCAGCCAGCGGGCATCATCGGCCTTTCAGCCTTTAGCGAGTGGAATGCAGTTTCGGGATAGTTGTCCGCGGCCACGGCCGGCCGCCACGCAACGAGAGATATGACGCGATGATCGTCGAGGCACCCGGTGCATCCGCCCTGACTACTCCACCACGCCGCTGCCGTCGCCGTCGTCGTCGTCGCCGCTCGCGTCCTCCGCCCGCGTTCTCTTCTCTGTCTCTCTCCTTTCTCTTTCTCGCGCGCGCCCGTGTGTGTACGTGCAACGCCCGTAGCAGCGGTACGCACAGCTCTCGGAGAGTGTGTCGGATAAGTTTCTGCCGTTCGTCGTAAACGCGCCAGTCAGGATGATCATGGATGATGTGCACGGGCTTCTTGGAGTTAGTAACCTCGGCCAGGAGGATACCGCCGGAGACGACGTCGGGATATCGGCAGCCGTCGGCACGCTTCTCAGGGTGAGTCCTTAAATCATCAGTCAGTATTATTGTAGCGTAGAAAATATTAATTTATAAGATACTATACAATAATATTCGTTTGAAGGGAATGTTTACATTCCGCGTGAGGAATTTCAAGAACGCGCTCTTTCGTTCGTCGCGAGCAATTTTTTTGTACGCCAGGCGGCTTGCTGTTTTTGCGTCGCGCGTAATGTTTACTTTGTAATCGAACGCTTTCCACGAAAATCTCGTCAATATGATGCTTCGTTTCTATTCATTTGAGATCGCTATTTTACACAATTATTCCATTTATTTCTGTTTCTTCGCTATGTTTCATTTTGTGTTAGGAAATTTCTCTTTTTGGAAGGATAATACATTTATGTTGCGAAAGTGCTTTTAGAAGCAATAATAGGTCAATTTATCGCATTTGCGAGTTAGAAAAGATTCAATAAAAAACGATATCATTCGCAATATCACCAATAATAATGATTTGATGATACAAACTGGATTTATATTACTTATACGATATTCCACGTTGATTCATTGCAGACTCGAATATTGCTGATCGCGTATAATGCTGTTTTATGTAAACAATGAAATACAAACAACTAATAATTATTATAATGTTAACATTTGTATAAATTGGAATATTTTCCAATTTAAAATTTCTTCTTTACGCTTTAACTCGATTTAAATATCATTATTTTATTATTTTACGTGAAATGGAGATTGCTAATCAATACAACAATATCAATTACTCGGAAAATTATAGTTGGAAAATTTTAGTTACGAAATTCTCTAATTTCGGTTGATCCGAGATTTTTGACATCAGTTGTAAGATTGTTTTTATAGGAATTACTTAATACACTGATAATTTATGACAACGGTAATTACACTTTTTATGATTTATTATTCGATGAGTTTTTGGTTTATCTCATAATTCAATGGCTGATTTAAAAATAAGTGTCCTTGTTACACTAGAGCACTGTGTTATACGAACGCAAGAAGTCTGATGACGACAATTATAGTGATGATTATATTTCAAAGATAAGTAGTACTTCATGAATGCGAGATTGTTAGTTTCTTGTGGCAAGATGACTGCATCGGTACTCGACTTAAGAATCTCTACTGTCTATCAGTGAAGCATCTGTATGAACGAATAAAGCGACGAAGAATAGTATTAAATACGAGTAATTAACGTTATTGGAAAGTCTAATATTTAAAAACTTAATATTTGGAGTTTATTTTGAGTTGCACTTTCTTTTCGTTGTTACTCGCAGTTGTAATTAATGCAGTAATTGCACATAAATTTAATTATTTGATAGTTATATAGGAAATGTTAATTGCATATCAAATTGTACTGCACACAAATCCGGACATTTTATATAAAATGGATAATAGGTATGTGGATTCTAATTTTACCAGAAATGTATTTTGCTTTGTACCATTTGCATTCTCATGTTTAATTTCTATTTAAAGTTTCACGCTCGAAGTTTACGAGATTGTAGTAACTACATCATGTAACTAGTAATAATGCATACCGATGCAGGCACACGCACACAGACTCTGGCTTCGTATTCGAATTTTATACCGTTAATGCGAATACGAAAGTCGCGAAGTTAGTCTCGAGCAGTTTAAAACTGCGCGCATTTACATTGTCGGACTTTAAACGACGAGGCGTGAAAAAGCCGCGGCAAAGATTAGACGATGAATAAACGATCGTTAATGCCTGATATAAAATTCACGACGGGCGAGGTCGGGCGCAACACTTGGCTCGCCGCTGCTAATACTGCTTTACGTAATTAAGCGTGAGCTATCAAGAAGGCGGCAAGAGTAACGAAATTAATTGATAATATGTGACATAAAATGCATTAGCGGAGCGCGCCTTGAAAGTGCGCCGTGCAATATTATCGATATCATAAACTGAGATCTTTCGTGAAGACGCTTCTCCCTCTACTCTTCTCCTGGTTATTTTTTTTTTTGCATCACGCCTATCGTATTTCAATGAATAATACATAAACTCCCGATGACCGTGGAACATTCTGATCTTTATAATCCTGGCTCGATATGTGCCTCGCATTTGGATGAGCGTAGTCTAATGCGGTATCGCATGATGCATACACATACTGTCGCAAGTGCCGACGCGTTGTATTTTTCTCCTCTTCAAAATACCAGTTCGCGGATTAATGCATCGGAAGCACGGTGCATTCTGTTTATTCGATCAATCGCGTCACTGTCTCGTACACACTGTGTTCGCAAGGATCCTCTCTGCATCCTGCAACCTAATAATAAACGTTACTCTCTGTAGCTTCCTCTGTCTGCTTGTCTTTCTTCCTCTCTCTCTTTTTTTCACTCCGTTCCGTTCGCTGTGTAGCTCGCTGTAAGCTTGGGAATAGTATCGCGAGCGGAGTCAAAGAAAAGAACGATGGCAGGGATACGAAGAAGGACGAGAGGGAGAAGAGCTATTGTGGATCGTCGCTCCTTTTCTATCCTTTTCAGCTTTCCTTCCGTCTAGCTCGCCTTTTTTCGCCTTTTCCACTCTGCGTTTTCTTTCTCTCTCTCTCTTTTTCTCGCTTAGGCTTTGCCTCAATTTAAATATTGCAAAACTTATTACGTGATTATTTTCTCATTGATTTAACTTGTTTTTTATTAATATCTCTCACAGTAGTGAGTTTTTTATTGTTTCTAATCGTTAACAAATTCATATCTCTGTTACGATTCCGTTTTATTTTTTCATATCTAATATTCGTTTACAACAGTTTTTAGTGCTGTTCATATTAGTGCATATATTCGTCGTTTTTTATAACATTTTATAAGTGAATTCTGAAGAATTCTTTTCGCCGGAAACGTGACTGTAGTCATCTTTTCCTTTCAATCAATGTCATGACAAAGGGAAACCCTAAAACCCATCTACCGAGTCATCCGCGGGATCAGACATTAGGACATATACATATAATAGTTTCGAGATCGTACAAGAAATGACTTTCTTTTTTTTATCCTTTGGCTCAGCGGGCATAGTTCTATAATGGACAGATCAAACTAACCCGTCGAAGTTCCACGAATCGAAATGTGCATACCTTGCGCGTTTAGATTATTACACTCGACGACGACCGACGACCGACGACGACGGAACTGCTGCGGCAGCGTTGAATCACGTACGCGGGCAAAAGATTAAAGCGGCTTAAGCGCACTGCTCGTCGCAACGTCAAAGGCGTCGCTATCACGTATGTAACGGAGAATGAAACACATCTGACGAGCGAGGAACGAAGCGACGGAAAATGATAAACGCACGGCCTGCGGACACACGGGCCCGGGTACGTTTAGATTTTCCGCAGCCATCACGGTGATACGTCGAAAAATTGCTTTACGCGCTCGCGTTTGTCAAAAACAACGTGCGCGCGCGAGTCCAACGAGATTTCACAATCGGATGTCGGTGCCATATGATCCTCGTTCCTATCTAAAAAATCGTGTGTCCGATGTTACGGTAAACAAATGCAATTTTTACCGGCTTTATCTCGTTTAATACGTTCCCCGTGGACGATGTATATGGCTAACTATAATTGGCTATATTTTAAATGTATCTCATAATCAAACAGGGACGTCGGTATTATTGCATGGATCACAAATGACAATCAGCATTCAATATTGTAATTACAAAGCAAACGTCGGATCGCCGCAGGCTTCCGTATGTGATGAGCTTCGGTAATATATACGACATTCGTTACGACATACGCATATATTTGTCGCAATTACGCGCTGAATTCAACGGAAGGCACAACGCTCTGAAAAGAACTTGTAACAATTTCCGAGATTGCGCAGCACCGAGCAGAAAGCAATAGTATCCCAAGTGGCCGAAGTTATTTGAGGCTTACGACTGCATTTTCAAATTACCGCGGCCTATTTCCCTTCTAATTTCCGCGAGCTTGTTTCTTAGTTGCGCGTTATAATTATTGTGTAGCAGCGCGCACCGAGCGTTTCCGAAATTTATTGCGCGGCTTGAAGCAATGTTTAGTATGCCAGTCGGGTTTCTCGTCGAGAGGAGCTCTTTATTTCTGCAATCGTCAAAAATTCGCCCGACTGTGAAGGAGCTGTCTGCTCCACGCGAGTTTTCCAGCTGCGCAATTTCGCTATTAATACAGATGACACTTCTAATCTCGTAACAATCGCGGATTGGCCTTTGTACGGCATAAATATTTATCGCCTCGTTAACATATCGGTTCTCGAGAGAATTCTCGTGTAGCTGTGAATTCCCACGTCGCTAAAAGTCCTGTCGATAAAAACTATTAATCATCATCTGCACGTAGAAAAGCATCGTTCGTCGGCGTTCGCTGATTTAAAAGAAAAACGATTCACGCGTAGTTAGGTAATAATTTACTCTCTGATTTTCCTATATTTATTTTCATTGCGCTATTCGTATTCGGATTTATTGTTTCTTATCTTGCTTTCTTAATACGTTTTGGATGAGTGTTGTGTGTCACAGATCATAAAATTTAGCCACCTATTTTAACGAGATATGCAAAATTCAGTTCGAATGTCTCAGTCGTGTCTGAGAAATGCGAGCACAAATCCCCGCAGATGTGAATTAGAGATATCTTGAGACGCTGCCACCGCTATTTCTTCGGCAAAAATGGATGGGAGTCTGAGTTACGTTAACTCGGTGATAAACGTGGATGCGTGGGTGGCCGTGTATATAAATCCCGGTCGCAAGATAACGCCGCAGGGGATATCGTATTCTCGTTCGGATACGATTTTGCGTACCGCGATAACGCCAGGAGCTAGAGCCTATTAGGCCCGAGGACTTTTCTTATCTATCTGGGCTAGGCGGTCCAAGACTGAGCTCAAAGTGGAACTAATTTCTTTGCCTTTGTGCCGGCGCGTCGCGATAATTTAATTAACGCAAGGTAAAGTAGCGAAGGGGGGCCGAGTACCTCACAGTGAAATAGAAAATTACACCTGAATTAGGTTCCTACGTGGGGCAAAATAGCGGGCCATTATGCGCATTAACGTATCCAATGGCGCCC